GACTTCAGCTTATATTTTCCTACTTTACTTCAGTAGCAGCTTGGACTGCTGTGAAAGTCAATGGAATTTTCAATTCGCAATTCAAATGTGCAATTATTTTCAGATACAACTTAAGTGGGCAAGACTGAAAGTAAAAATCTGAATTGTTCAGTACTCTGAAGATTATTGTGAAGTTTTGCCAAAGTTACACGAAAATTAACATAAATTTGTAGTTCATTAAATTCAAGACTGGCGACTGGAGAGGTTTCTTTATGACTTAATTTACCGCTCGATTTGGCAAACTGCAAATATTTCCGTATAAAAATGTTATAATAATTTAGAATAAAATAAAATATATAAATTTAAGGAAATAAAAATATTTTTATAAACATATATAATAAGTATATAGTACATAATATATATAAAGAATAAGTAATTAACTGTATTTCAAAGATGATTAAATGCACTTATTAAAAATCAATATATAATATTTAATTTTTTCCTAATATTATTTCTAATTTTTTTTTTAAATTTTAAAAACTACATTAATCAATTAATGAATATATTTGATAATACTAAAACGTGTAGATGAATGATAGATATACAGCTGTAAGGTGTAAATTATTCCTACGGAGACATGACCAGTCATTGATAAGCTATATAAAGGAATGATAAAAGCCATTTATAATACTACACTAGAACAGAGGACGACTAAGTATACACAAGAGACAGGGTTTAAAATCCTTAAAGACTAAAGTTACTATTGATATATATCATATAAAATATATATATAAAATTTATTAGCGAAATCTCTCTATTCTGAAAATTAATATTACACACTATTTACTTTCTATAAAGAACTACTTATTTGAGCCAGAATTTTTTCATGTTATTTTTCTTATTTATAACTATTAAACTTTAGAATATCGATGTTCCTTGTATAAGAAATTTTTAATCATATATCAATGCTCTATAACTCAATCATATAACAGAAAATAAAGCAAACCTGATTAGCATCTATACTTACTAATTCCCTTAGGCTTTATATGGAAACTTTGATCTCCCAGTATATGTACTAATACTAATTCTTCTACACTTTAGGTGGGTAGTCGGATCAATCAGTACTCACATTCGCACACAGCATGCTTGGTCTGTTATTACTTATATCTGTTATACTTCTAAGACAAAATTCAATCGTATAGCACATATTCTCATGCATAAGAATTTTACAGAACTTATATAAAATAGGTTCCTAATAGCAAATTATGTAGCAAATTTTTATACAGTTTGTTGGTAAGATACTTTAACGGTTAATTACATTGTATTTTGTTAGTGCAAAAGCGGAAGTAATAATATATACTTATGCAATCTACAATATTCTATTAAATTTTAGATGAAGTAGGGCGACCTATACTTATAGAAAATATACCTATACAATGAGTATGCTGTAGACTTGTCATCATTGTATAAATAGAGAAAAATTAAAGAATCAAACTGCACTGTTACAATTGATCTAATTCCCTTATTATAATTACAGTATTACAGTAGTAGCACGTTTGACTGAAGCCCATCAAGGACAATAGAATTTGAACAAATAAATTTTAATTTGTTAATAGAAATTTCATTTAAGCAAACCCGTCAATTAAAAATTAAAAGAAAGGTAGACTCATGCTACCGGCAACTCACATAAAATCAAAACAATCCCTGTACTAGAAAAACATGATTACGTGTTCTGAAGATCATTTGAGGATTGCAAAGAGGCAGTTACAATCAGTAGGGGTGCAAAATATTTCCCAGATACAGACGTAATAGTTTATGTCAACAATACAAAATTAATTGTATGTAAAAATAGAAACAGGAACAGAAAAAAACTTATAATTTTATTTCACATAAAATTTTTATACGATTAATTCTTATTTTTATTTTCATTAAAGAAAAGCGATAAGTATGTATTATAGGGAATAATTACAGTATCTTGATTTTCAATCAATATCGACAGAAGCGATATTACATTAATATATTTAATTTTATATTTTTTTTGAATTGAGTTCTTTAAATTCTTTATTAAGAATTAAGTAAATTCAAATAAAATAGATGATATTATATAAATTATTATGCTTAGGAAACGTTTTCTTATTATTCTTGGGAACAGTGTTAGTTCGATGGTGAGTAGCACTTGATCATTAATGACAGAAAGTATAGTGACAAAGATTTAACCGTTTTTGAAACTATTAATAATATATAACATTAATAGGATAACATTATCTGATTAAGAAAATATTCTGCAGTGGGAATTGTGTGTAAACAATAGGAATAGTACTTCGTAGTAGATGGCGAGCGCCACACATAATCTATATCGGTAATATATATTGTTACTAAGTATGATTTAGAAATGATTCTTTGGTTTCTAAGTGGTGCTTTGTCATCCATAATGATTGCCACCCAGATATAACCCGATCATTGTTGGAATTAGTAATAATACACAACAAATTTTATTTTTACTAGGTTTAAGGTCGCTTTAAATAAAATTTGTTGATTCATAGATAGAAATAACAATTAAATATTAATATAATTAATAATGAAATAATATTTATTAGTAATGTTACTGAGAGCGATTGAGGGAAGAACTTTTGACAGGTAAGTGACAGTTTTTTATCTAAGACAAATGCCACCCAGACATAGATCCGACATTTTCTGGAAGTAGTGACAATAATACCTACATAATAAAATAATATACAACAGCAATAACATATTGTTATTATGGTTAGAAGAACCATTACGTCTGTCAAGATTAATTATTTCTTAATTTATTGTTGTATCTTGACTAGATTATTAAACAAATAAAGTTGTTTAACGAAAAAAAATTAAAATAAAGCTATTATAAGACATTTTATATAATTTCGATCTATCAGATCGCGAGGTAAAGAATTTTTCTTTGGTTATTTAAGTTTCTCTTTAAAATAATATTTTCGCTGTAAAGATTCACTTTGTAAAGAGATTATTACAATTTCATTATCAGGTATATGTTTGTATATGATGAAAGTGTCTTGATGTCTATGAAGTGTTAAATTTGGACGATAGTAACAGAAGTTTATTTTTCTTCAAAAAAAAAATTTTTTTTTCAATATACATTAAAAGCAAGCACTTTAATATTTGCATTTACATATTAATAAAAACAAAATTATTAAAATCTATATATTTTTATAAATATATAAATAATTTGCATTTAGTAACTAAAACGGTACATTTTACACCACTATCAAATATTGTGACTTTCTTATCTCAAAGTACGTGTGACATTACTTTTGCTAAATCTGTTAAGTGATAAGAATTTATTTTCTGCTTTTAATCTTGAATTATGTAATTTAATTCTTTTTTTTTTTAATTAAAGATTAAAATAGTACTTCATTTAATTAAATATATTTAAAAAAAATTTAAAAATACTCAATAGAAGTAACTTTTGTACATTTATATGAGGAACTAAAGAGTTAGGTTTGAGCAAATCAATATATTAAAAAACGCAGATAGTATTTATTACCTTTAAATACTAATACAGTCAATACTTTCCTAATGAATAACGCCCCTCTTGTACGGTCACCCCTCTTAAATTGATAATTTTTTTGAAACAATTTGTTATATTTATTTTTTAGGTCTTTAAAAAAAAAAATTGTCTGACTATAAGTATCCGATTAAGAGAATTGTTACTATGCTACAAAAAAAGTAAAATTGATTATTGAAATCTTTTTTAATAGCAAGCAAAATAGCCTTTATAAACCGAGATTCCAATTGTTTGGTAAAAGAAAGTTGTAGGATTTTCTACAAATTTAGTTTTAAATGGGAACTTAAGTCTCTATATTTGATCTATTAGCCTTAATAGACAGTATGTACTATATATACAATAGACTGCAATATTTTATTGCTTTTGCAAAAATAATTTTAATCAGTGTTTCAGATTGAAGTTTTCTTATCAATTATATTACAATGACATTAATATTTAATTCAGCTCAAAAACAAATCTTGCAGTTTTTTCTAGACCCAGTGAAGGACCGCTATAGTAATTTATAGTAATATTTATTTTAAAGAGAACAAATATATTATTAATGCATGATTAAATATTGTAAAGCAACGTACCTGCAGTTAAATCTTTTTAAAAACGAATAAATATAAATTCCTACAAAGGTTCAAAAACCGGCGTATCAGGTAATTTTAGGGAAAATATCTACCTATTCACAATATAAACTACAAGTAATACACTACAAAAACTTTGCCACAAAAATATATTCTAATATTTCCCTCCTTGGCACAATTCTAGCTACGCCACTGGGTCCAAGTCATACTCGGCTCAAAAAGCCTACCTCAAAGTGGTGATTACAACCGAGGAACAGGCAAAATGAGTCATACAAATCAGTTCACATGGAATAATGTCATTTGAGTATGGTTTAAGTCACCTATGTACATAAAGGTTTTTTTCTAAAAATTTTTGCAATATGCGGTATTTTTTCAGTCGCGTTTTACAAATTATAAAGTCCGAATACTTTGTAAACTAAACATATTTAACTCAAATAATGCAGGGTATTTATATATGATGCATGGTATTCAAAAGTTATAGAATACTTAACTTCGAAATTAAAATAATTATATATTTAAATTTGACTTATATCGATAGAATTATTAAAAATAATTTCAATCAAGTTTTTGCGCCCAACAAAAAAAAATTAATAACATTGCGCTTTAACAGCCTACTTCAATGTAACCAATCAACCAACTGTTAATAACAGTGCTGATTATTTAAGTAACAGGTAATCATATTATCTCTTTTTAGCACACGCGACTTTAAACAAAAAACACAAGTGCGTCTATTGATGTGCGCTCAAGGAGATCATTCAAACAGAGAGGCAGGCAGTCATGTAAAAAAAAAACCATACAAACAAGAAAACAATTCACTTTTTTCTGATATAGCACAATTCAAAGCAATAAAGGTTAAGCAAGTAAATAATTAATTTTTTTTATAAGTAACTTACTTTGTCTAGACACTTAAGCTCCTCAATGGGATAGACCACTTTTTGACAACGGGCGCAAGTTTTATTCATTTTTAGGCTTTGTTCACTTGCAGGCTATTTTTTTTTGTGTCTCCAATATATTTATATATAGATATACTCCTTTAAATCCAAAGTCAAACGGCACTCCTACAAAACGTATGGCTTATAGATTTCCTTTAAGCAACAATTTGCTTTTAGCAAATTTTGGCCCAAAAAATACCTTAAAATATTATTTTCATGAACCAAATTTTTTAAATCAAAATTTTTATTTATTTTCAATTATTTAACAATTCCCTTGGAATTTTCGTTTAAATATATTTGAATTTTACAATGATGGTATGATGATCAAAAATATATAAAAGGGTTAATCTATTTAAATAAGTTTGCACAGAGTAAACAATTTTTTTTTTATTCTTGAAAGCACGATCACTAAAAATTGAACAGCGAATTTACCGAAAACAAATAAAATAAGCCAAACTGTTGCTTCGATCTCAACTTGTGTTACCTTACTACAAAGAAAGCACAATGCAATAAGCGTATTTTTTATTTATTTATTTTTATGATGACGAGCTCGAAATTTCTTAAACTACCCGCTTCAAAAATTTACAACCGACTCGAAGCATACGAAGAAGTAAACTAAAAACTGCGGGAGAGTATTCAAATTGGAGTTTAGCAGATATTTACCATTGAATTGTTGTTGTTATCTTAAGTATTTAAAAGAGATAGCAAAGGTAAATATGTTATGTGTACAAGTGAGATGTATATTGTGTGCTGGAATTTAACCATTCACAATAAATATTTTGAAAATCATATTTAAGCTGTAGTTGAATTTTAAACTATTTTATTATTTCATATATTTTATTATATGAAACTAATGATCTTAAAAACTTGTCATTTACATAAAAATGTTATTCACTCAGTGATATTTGCTTTCCAAATTCATAATCGAAGACCATTCTGAATCGCTAAATGAATTATAAAAATATTGTTTGTTCGCCACAACTATTATAAATGATATGACGACAGTGGTTATATGACAATTTAATTTCATTTTCTTAGAACAAATCGAATAAATAAAATCATTATATATTGAATAATGTAAAATCGCAAATAGCAACTTTCATGAAATATTACATCAAAGAGTTCAATCAACTCTGCTATTGCAGCTATCACTCAAACAGCCATAATTTATTAATTATTTCTTCATGCAAACTTAAAACGTCTGGTTTTTTCAGTTCGAGGCCTTTTTCTATAAAGAAAGTTTCTTAATTATTTAGCTTATTTGATGTACTAAATGTAATAACATTTAATAAGATGGCGGTATCACAAATTAATAAACAAAATATAAATTTAATAACGATTTTTAATTTAATAACGACATTGTACACATAGGATATTTTAAAATGTATGACTTGATATGTTAGATAGAAGCAGCGGTTTTGTACATTAAAGCCCATTTGAGCAGAAATATTGGCTTCTTGTTAAAACAAAATTAAAACATTGCTGATATGCGAAAACAAAGTTTTCGATGGCTTCAAGAATATCACCGAAGCAATTATAAAGACCAAAATAGTTCGCGCATAGACAACGTGGAAAAGAAATTAATTCACAAGTGTATTAATATATATTATATAATAACATAAATATTATTATATTTATTATATATTATATTATTATTTATTATTTTAAAGCTATTAATACACTTAAAATGACCACAATGCTATGTTTAATATATCAATTTTTTAATTATAACAGTTTGATGAAGAAGTCCAGTAGCATCGAAACGTTGGTAATTTTATATAGAAAAGTACAACATAAAGAAAAATTCATAGTATACTACAAAAACTATATACCAATAGTTTTTTATTTTAAAAGTTTATATTAATAGCAATTTACATTAAATTAAAACAATTTATTCAAAGTTAGTAAAACTCCAAACAAGTAATACAGTTTTATTTGTATTGTTTATTGTAATCATCATCATTAATGATGCAATGACCGTAGTTGAATCTTGGCCTGACTAAGGACATAGTATTGACTGCCAAATGTTTTCACTTCATAATTTGTTTTCCTTTTATTTTCGCTACTACTGTATTATACCAAGAAACACAGCTACAACAAAGTTTTGAATTCACAATAGTTTCCATGCAATTTTAATACATAATTTGAAATCAGCTGTTCAGATATAAATAGAAAAAAAATAAAACAATACATATCCTTAATACGTATCCTTAAGTCGTCATCGAATTTTCAATGATCTTATTCGTTCATAAATTTTCGGCAATGAGGGTGGAGAAAAAATTTTGTGAAAAAATTTATTGTTTCCACAAAAAATTAACGAAACAGTATAATTTAACAGTTAATTAGTTAAAATAATACATAATATTTACTATTAACACTGAAAAATATAATCTATATTAAATTTCAAGATAATTAAGATGATTTAATAAGTGAAATAAAATTTTTAATTTATACAGAAATTTTATTGTAATATTAGTTCCGAATTAGTTTGATAATATTTTAAACAATGTATAAAATAAATCTTCTAATTAATATTTAATTTAAATTCATAAAAATTAATAAAAATGTTGCCGAATAGTAAAAATAACAAAATACATATTTTATTCAAATGATTCTAATAATAAATATATTAAAGTGCATTAAAATCACTGATTTATGTTGTAATATAAAATTTATTTAGAAAATTGGTGTCATAAAAATTTTTAACAAATTACTCGCACCCCAAATGGTTAAGGGTGGTACAAGTGAAAAATCAATAAACGTTGCTGTATTCCATGCCGGCGAATAGTCATATCGACCGTGTGTATGGAAAACATAACAAAACAATAAATTCCTAAATAGAAAAGTAAACAAAAGCCTCGTAATCAAAAACGTGGAAAATGCATGATATAGCCTTTAACAGAGGAGACATCCATTGCACGATTTTAATTTGCATTAATTTAACTAATTTATTATATACTGTGATAAAATAAAAATTAAATATTGAAATATTTTTATTTAAATAAAACACTTTTATTTATTAAATTCGAAAGTTAAACAATATTTAAAATCATGCAAACTTTACGAAAGAAAACGAGTCCTTGTAAATGTAAGTAAAAATATAGTTTCAATATTTTAATTTATATATATTGTAATAAGTATTTATAGTATACATTTTTTAATAACGGTTTCTATTTTAATTTGATATTTAATGGTTGTAATAATCAAATTTTGTTTATATATTTTTACACGCGCTAATTGGTTAATTTTTTGAATAAAATAAATATTAAATTAATAATAAAAATTTAATAAAATGTAAATTATAATAAAAATAAAATAAAATAAAAATTAAAGTAATAAAAATTTAATAAATTTCGAATGATAATAAAATATCAAAAAATTTATATAATATAATATATATCAAAAATCAAAAATAAAATAAAAAATATAAAATATCAAAAATAAAATAAAATAAAAATTAATAATAAAAAATTAACAAAATATAAATAATTATAAAATATTAAAAAATTTTATTGTTGTAATTTAATACTATTCGAAATACCTCTTTATTGAAAACCATAGTTTATATTAAAAATTTAGTTTCTTTCGTTAAAACGAACGTTAAAATACAATATATCATAAGATTATATAATGTGGAATGATTATTCTTTCTTTAATGTATATATATTTAGTTATTTTAAAGAAGATAGTAAATATAGTATAGTTCGTAAAATAAAAATTCAATATATATTGTTTTATCAGTATATTTATTAGTTCACTAAAATAATTAATTTTTAAATTATTTAAAAGATGGGAAGATTCAACGATGTGTAGGCATCTGTATACAATCTGGCCACTTTCTGATAAAAAGAAATCCAAAATTCTTATTGAGATACCCCGTAGAGATGTTGATCTTTTTGTTGGTTTACTTACAGGCCACTGTAAACTAGGGAACTAGATGCTAGAAGATTGGGTCTCCCTTTCAATCAAACCGCAGCTGTGGGGAAGACAATGAGAGTACCTCTCATCTATTATGTTTTTACCCATCTCATACACGGTGGCAGCATAACACTTTAGGAGCCCAGTTTTTTTTTGAGGATGTTGATCAATTACAAGACCTGACACTATTTAGTATTTTAGGCTTCGCCAAAGGTTTTAGGTGGTTTTAAACCCCGAGTTTTTCCTACATATACGTTAACATAATGGGTCAATAAGCTTAAGTAGATTCACCAGGGATCACCGGTATAACGTAACCTAACCTAAATAATTTAACTAACCATTCACGTACGTAGTTGTAATAAAAATCAAGTTAATTTTGATTTGAAATTCACTGTGTTCCCGTAACCGAAAACCTACTTAGAAAAGAGTTTGTGAGAGCGAACTATTATTCTATACTTTACAGAACTTGTTTGAATTTTACTTGTTAAATTTGTTCAAGTAAACAACTTGCTATTTAGTTATACCCAACATGTGTAATATCCACACAAACTGCAGCAGTATTAAAATAAAAAATAAAAAATATATTTGAAATTTAAAACCTATCTTTTAAATCTTTATTAAATCATAATGATCAGTAGGAATAAAAATAACAGTTTAACTAAATTTTCATTTGAAAGTGTTTCCATATAATGTGCGCAAAGTGCTTTTCTAAAGGATCGTTTTTAGTTTTTCTAGTTTTTAACCTAAATATAATGTCAGTAGACGACTTATTATTTTAATTTTTTTTAAATAGTATTAACAACATTCGCCACACTATTCCATTTCTTTCGTTTATAATTTGAGTTGGTTTTTAAAAGCAACCAACATTCCACTTTAAAACTTATAAATTTCGATTTAGTAAAATAATTGTGTAAAATATAGAATTTTCAAAAACAAATAAAGCCTTAAATTGGAATTCATTTTTAAATTTAATTTTTGGTTTAGATTGTTAATAAAGTAATTAAGTTTTAATTAAAATGTTTTTTTTAAGAATCATCATGTAAAGAGTGAAGATTTTTTTTAATTTAAACGAAAATTTATTTTTTGTTACCTTATTGTTATACATATTAAGATCTTTGATGTTTAATATCATGTTGCCGCTATAGTTAAAATTAACTATATTAATGAAATTAAGTTTTGGTCGTTTCCATTGGCATGTCTTAGCAGTGCAAGTTTTTCAACCAAACGTTTAGCCAATATCGTTCGAATATTAAATATTTGTGTTAAACTTTAAAATTATAAAATAAAATGCCGAAATTGAGTGAAAAATTCAAACTTAAAAATACTTACAAAGATATTATTTGTAAATAACTTGCTTTTGTTGGAATGCAACTCTGTTTTGACAACAGATAAATTTATGCGATATATTTATTTGGTAAAATTTTTGTGTAAATTTTTCAAGTTTGTGTTAACGATTCTTCATATAAGATTTGACACTACATATAAATTCGATAAACATATACGTTTATAAGGATTATAAGGCATTTATCAGTTTTATTCTTTTATATATATTCTATAAATATATATAACTTTTATATATGCTGAATATGTAAACAATTTTTTGCTGAAGTTATTAATAATATTAAAATTATTATTTATTTATAGTTAGTATATTTTATAAATTTTTTTTAATATATTTAAAAATAACGTTTATTTATAAATTAAACAAAGTTGGAACGATGAACATTGCACAAACAAATATTTTGTACGAAAAGAACAGTATGAATAGATAAACTTCATAAAAATAATGAATGAATAATAGTGCTGGCCTGCTCTTTCACACGTAAATATTTTCAATGTTATGATTTGCCAATTTTTTTTGTTTGTTTTTTATTTGCTTGTGTTTTCATTGCTACTTCCATTACTGCTGCTTGCAGTTGTCGGCAGCTGCAATTTAATTCTTTCCATAAAATTATTGCTATTGTTGAAATAAAATGTGATAAATTGAGAAATAAAGTGCATTCATATTGTCAAAACCGATTTCATTGCTAAAATTATGTAGTACAGTAGATAATGTAAAACTTTTTTATCCAATAATTAAACGCAAAAATATACACTTAATTACATATAAATTCTAACTAATTAAATAATTATGCATTAAAAAAAACATGTTTAAATGCTATACAAAAAAGTTTTAATTGAACGAATAAGTGAATTGATGTTAAATTAAAAAATTCGTAAAGAAATATGAACTAGAAAAACTGCGCATGAAAAATCAATAAATTTTGCTGCCTTCAGAGTACCTCAAAACAAAAGTACAGCGGACTCGCGGGAAGAATATAGGGAAACACAAAAATTTGTTTAAATAATGTAGATTGTATAGATATTTGCTCATCTAATGCTGAGATTATTTATTTCTCCAACAAAACCGAAAACGTATGAAAAACAACAACAATTGAAAGCAAATGTTTTATAAAACAAACTAAACTCAAGGGTAGCGAAACGTATGAGACGGGTTGTTTTATCACAATAAATAAAATTCTTTTGTTGGCGCTTTGTGTGAGGCTGCTGCACCTATATAAAGTAGAGTACACATTCTCCTGGTCCAGTGATTTACTAATAAATGTGTTACATGCAGTGGGGCACGGCGAAAGCTTTTGACAATTGTTTACTAGAATTTGTATGGCAGCATATAGAATACATTTCCAGCGGAAAAAAGTATATCGCGAAAAGTGTTTGTAGATATTTTTGTACATCAGAAAAAAGAATATGTATTGTCATTGTTATGTAGAGCAGCTATAAAAAGCAATGAAAGGAACAGCAGCTATTATTCATAACTACATAAAAATATATAACTAAGGATATATTAATCATATAATGGTCAAATCACTAGTTTCGAAACTATCATCTGCCTCAAATCTATCATTGTCGTCAACATTATCTTCTGTTGGTGGTGGCAGTTCACATGGATCTGGCACATATGACACAAACTATTTCAAACGTTAGCTTATTATTTCCTTTAATTTAGTATTTTTAAAACTTGGAATCATTTAATAAAACAAAAATATCTATATTACAGATCGCAATGATCCAGGACGTTTCTTTGGCGATGGCGTACAATTTAAAGCAAAACTTATTGGGATATTGGAAGTGGGAGAAGCGCGTGGTGACCGTATGTGTCAAGAGGCTTTACAAGACTTAAAAATGGCTATACGCGCTGCTGGTGAACACAAGCAGCGCATAACAATACACGTTACTATTGATGGTTTACGTTTGAGAGATGAAAAAACTGGTGATTCCTTGTATCACCATCCTGTGCATAAGATCTCATTTATAGCACAAGATATGACTGATTCACGTGCATTTGGTTACATTTTCGGTTCACCAGATAGTGGGCATAGATTCTTCGGTATAAAAACTGATAAGGCAGCTAGTCAGGTTGGTAGTTAATATTTAAATTATTTCAATAAAAATTTATTTTATATATGTCTTTTTGTAGGTTGTTTTAGCAATGCGTGATCTCTTTCAAGTTGTATTCGAGCTAAAGAAAAAAGAAATTGAATTGGCCAGGCAACAGATACAATCTAAAACACTACATGAACATCAACGTGCTTCATTAGCGTCGTTAAAACCTGTTGGTGGGCATAATGATTTAAGCGGTAGCGTTGGAAGCAGTACTATGGCAATGTTCGGTGGTATAAGCGGCCAGGGTGCTACTGGTATTTCAAGACTTGGTGTTAATTTAGATTCAAAGGATGTTTCAAAAGAGGTATTACTTAAGAAAGTCATACATTAAGAAAATGCACATGATTGCAATAGTATTTGGTACACATTTCTACTTCACATAAAAAGGACTTTTTAAAAATAGTTATAGTAAGACTATCTATTGGCAATTGAATGTGTCGGTAAGGTAGATTTTTTTTTATAAATGTACTATCAAAATTTTGAGAGAAAAGTTCTTCGTAAGATCTTTGGTCCTCTATGTGTAGGCGACGATTACCGCATCCAAATGAACCACGAACTGTACAAGCTTTATTACGACATTGATATAAATCAGCGAATTAACAAGCCAGCGGCTTCGTTGGCTTGGACACGACGTGAGGAAGAAATCTTTATCATTTCTCTTTAGCGAAAAACGTATTTAATGCGGTAGTTGCAGGAAATAGGTGAGGAAGTAGACAGTGTCTCCGGGAGAGTGATCAAGTTAAGGGAGTACTAACGGCACTTGATGTACGAAACTGAAGAAATCGGTCACGCAGCAGAGGCGTCGTGAGAAACATGTTGTGTAAGGATGAAACCCGGCAACGGGTTTTTTAGTCAAACAAACAAACAAATTAACGAAATTTCATGACATTTAAACGAGTGGAAACGGCTATCATACAGTGTGCAAGATTTTGTCTACACAAGTGACTGAAAACCAAAAATAAACACTTCGATTGGCGTTTGTAATCAAATTTTTGTATTGAAAAACGTATTTAAACCTAATATACCACAGTATCACTTTTATTGTATTGTATTTGCCGATGAAAAGAAAATATTTTATGGAACTAGAAGCTATACAAAAAGCTTGCACCGACATTTTGAATGACTGTCACTTTAGACGTAATAACTCTGGTTGGACTTATCCAAATATCATGAAACTTTAACAGTGCATTAGTTTTTTAACCGATATATGCAATCATAACCGATATATAACCTGTTCATAAATACTTGATTTTAAAAAACTCTGTTTACTTTCAAACGCACTTTAAAAAATTGTATATTTGAAATTGTTGAATCGTCAAATCTCTTACAACTGCAATCGTCCACTCTGTTATGTCATGCCTTTATTCTATGCTTCTATGATATCGTCCAAGCAAAATTTAATACTGTTTTTTCTTCGGAGATTTAAGCTTTCCTTTAAAACTTTTATTCAACAATATATTCATACAATGTATTATAATTATCAAGAAAAATATCGTTATATCATAGATATATAATGACATATTATATATGTATGTCGTCATTTTTTTAGATGTCACCAGAATCTGTGGCAGATCTTGTTGATTTGGAACAAGAACTAAGTTCAATACAACGAGGTATAACACAAATGGAACGTATTACACCAAGCGATCCTGTACACCCACCAATGTGTAATACAACTGGAAAATCAACTAACGATGAAGATCCATTCGGCGATTCATTTACAAACTTTCCGGTATTTAAAATAAATTATTTTTGCATGTTCCTTTCCGAGGTAATGAGTTAATAATTTATAATTTCTAGACATACAATATCTTGCCACCACCTGAGTCTGATCGTTCGCGTAATAAACCGGGTAAACCGCCAGATGCAAATGCAACCACTGTACAAAATCCTGCTCTATCATCATTACTATCACCTACACCAGCTGCAGATAGTAGTGCTACTGCAACATTAGCTCAGCAAGAGGATGAAGATAATTGGTTAAATGATTTGGATCAGCAAAATGATGTTTTTGATACTTCAAAGACAGTAGTGATGGGTATGGGCGTTAATTTGCCAATGGCACCGTTGGCACCTTCTGAAACTATAGAGACACCAATACAACAGTTTCATGAGCATTCAATGTCTATTGAGAACGATGTATTAGCTAATACAGGAGTTGGTAATTCCATAACGCATATTGCAACTAATACTAGTACTATAAGTGCCATTGATGCATTGGCTTCTGCTCTAAACGAACATCCCAATATTACAGCTGTAGCAGCTAAGTCCGGTAAGCATCCGATCATTATGTGTACATATATGTATATTTTTCGTTGGTGTTAGCCTTGTTATAAGTGCATCTGTCTTGTATATTTTTGTGTTGTGGTCTTGTACTAATAATGTATATTTTACTTTCATAATTTGAATTTTAATATAACATTGTCAAATAATTATTATTTTTTGAACATTTGGATGAGACAACTGCTCAGACTGATTCAGATTGTTGAATTCACAACTAACCTATCGGTTAATGTGTGTCCAATATACGTTTACAGCTACCTTGAATAGGTAAAATTAACTTGGCTTTCTGCCAAGCCTGATTACATGTTGGTAATGGTCTAGTCTGTAAGAAGTCTATGTGTCAACCAAATGCAAATTTATTGTTGGTTTTGGAAATTTTTTCGTCGTTTTAAGATTTAATTTTTGTCCTATTATATGTTATACGTTTTAGTTTTTTACTTTAAGTTTTTATTTTTTTTTTATATTTTTTTTAAATGTTTTTTTTTTTTTGTAAATTATTTATTTTTTATATTTATTTTTTTTTGTTTTGATTGTTTATCAACCAACCAACCTATTTGAAAGCAGCACAATTGGCTCTCTTAGCCCATAACTTCACTGATTTGTGTCTCAATATGCAGATGCTTTTACAGATTTGGATCCACTAGGTACTGGGCGTACACGTCCATATGTTGACAAAAAGTACTTCTTTCAGGAGCTTAAGAATCCACCTAAAAAGGTACTTAAAGATTTATCAGCCAACAACAGCGCAGCAAATACTCAAATATATGGCGATATAACCGCTTCAAATTACTCAGCTGCAGCCGCTGTTGTAGATGAATTCCTTAGCAAGGAAGGTCTGTTCGATGATACAATTGGATCGGGAACTTTGTCGGATTCCACTTCGAGAGCTACTGAATTTGAAAGAGCACAACTGCAGGCACAGCAATTATCAAAGCCGCTACCTATTAATCTAATTAATACTAACACATATGCAGGTATCATTTCAACGTCGGCAACGACTTCATTAATTGGTGTATTACCAACTGTTACAGCTATAAGCACTACTAACACTTGCACTTGCACTATTAATGCTACTACTAATTTTACTTATAATTCAACTATTGCTAATAGATATACTAACAACAGCTTATTAACCACGTCCGCCTCGGTTGCTATTACAACCAAGGCACATAAAATGCAATATCCATCAACTATTTCGTCGAATGAAACGAATATACCCACTAATTTACATTTAAATCATTACACTTTAGATCCTGTTCCTCCAACGTCAACTGGCACTGGCGCTGATCCTGTAATGCTGCCAAGAGATACTGATCCGTTTTCACCAACGCGTAAAAAAAGTGATCCATTTCAAGATGGTGATATCTTTACTAAATTGGATCCATTTGAGTTCGAATTTTCTGGTAAAAATGAAAATACTAATCAACGCGTTTCACCGTCCATTTCCTCTTCCGCTGCTGCTTCATCTTCAACGACTGATGCACGACGTCCTAAAGATGTTTTTAATGGACCATTGCAAGTTAATCTGCCACCTGAAAGTGGTAGTGCTTCTGTTGGTATTGTTACTTGGAAAAGTGATATTTCCAAACTTGAACGTCCGTCTAGTGATGCACATAGCACTGGCATGGGTAATAATATTAGTACAGTGCGTTCAAGGCCAACAATATCTGGGAGCAGTTCTCACTCTAGTTCGGGTATACATGCGCCCTCATCTATGTTAAAACAACAAACAGTTGATGTAATTTCAAGCATCAGTAATAAGAAAATGCCGCATCTATTTGGGCAAGCAAGATTTTCGAAAAGAGGTGATTCTAATAGCATTAATATGCGGCGTCTGCAAGAAAGCGATTCATTAAGTGAAAATGAAACTGCACCAGAACCACCACCACGTCCTGATGCTATATCTCACGTTGAACCGCCACCTTTACCACCGAAAAAACAATTTAATGATATTGTTATACGACCACGTATCACTTCGGGTAATGCAGTACCACCGGTAAACAGCAGTAATCGTTACGAGTATATTATTTCAACGGCTAAATTATCGGCACCCGCTGGGTCAGTATCGACGGGCGTAGCTGATGTACCACCTATACCGTTGCCTTCGCGACGGGTAGGCCGTTCAGATGGCACATATCCTGGACCAGGGAGACCGCGTAAACCCGGTCATACTGAAGATGATTACTTAGCACCTATTGGTCTCAGTACTGCAAGCAATAGTAACATGCCGGGTAGTTCGGATGTGCCACCCTTGTTGCCACCTCCAGTGCAAATTTCAACACGTACTCGCGCTCAACGTCAACAATCTCAGACAAAAGCACAGGATATTTATGAAAATAAAAAAGAAATCTTGCAGCAACAGCAAGAAATGCAGATGGAAGAAGCGGCAGCTAGTGCCGCAGTTATTCCGGACATCACTCTAAGTCAACTACTTACGCTTGGAATCGACGAATTAGCAATAAAATTAAATGTACCGACATCTAAATTAAGTACCATGACGTTAGTAGAATTAACCACATATTTATCCGAATTTATAGAGAAATCGAAGCCATCCAACACATCTATGCACATGCAGCAACCGCATTCTATTAGCCCCGTTTTAGTTAATGCAAATCAAAATGACCAAAATTTCGACCAAGCACCAGTATTTAAAGTTAATTTCGATCAACAAGCCACATTTGTTGCCAAATTTGATGATACTTTCGGTGAAGACATGCCGACTAGTAATCAAAATCAAAATCAAAATGCACAGGAATTTGTTGCCAATTTTGCCCAATTTAATAACGCGCCAATAGCACCACCTATACCTAGTAATTCTACTCGTGTGCCTGCTGTACCGCCAGCTGATCGGTATGCAGTTTTTCGTGAAATAATAGATCAAGAACTGCAGCAGTGTGAACAAAACGCAAATCTTATAGGCGACCTTACTCCGCCTGAAGAAGAGACAATGATTGTAGACTCAGTGCATATGGATGAGTCGACACGTATGCAGGATGTAAACACTGGATTTGATGCTCACTTTGAAGATGATGATTTTCTTGCCATACAGACTGGTCAACAATCTACGCTTCCCAAGTTCGATACAAAAATAACAGAAGTGGTCGCACAAGCAAAGGATCGGTATGCTGCTTTGCGGGATATAATACTTGTGGAAAATCTATTTGATCAAAAGCCCGTTATTGAAGATAATGAAAATAATTTGATGCAAGAATTCACAGAATTTAGCGAAGACTTTAATGAAGATCAAGATCTAAAGCAGATAATGGATGAACGTGTGTGTAGTACAGGACCAGATCGTTTAGGTCTTGTAGATAGTCGTGGTTTTCCTGCTGAACCATCGTCATCCGCACTTACAGTAGAAGATGATGAAGACGAAGATGGCGGTGCTGAAAGCAGCTTGGATAGTAATGATAAAGATGCTGAACGAAACAGAGGTGACTTATGCGGCTTGCCACAAGACCAATATGAAAAACTTTCTACTTCCACGCAACAGTTAGATGTAGAAAGATCAGATAAAATAGAAACGGGCAGTATAGGTGATGTTAGTAGTATAAATTCAAATTTACCAAACAGCAAACAAGACAGTAAGTTCCTTATGGTAGCAGGCACTAGCGGCCTTTCTTCATCTAAAGATGACTTAGAAATTGACGAACTAATGCAACGCGCTATTTCCAATTTATCGCTTGATTCACGTGAACGCATATCTCCTGCAAATTCAACAAGTGCAACAGGCGCAAATACAACTATATCGATATCTGTTACTCGAGCTTCCTGTTTAACAACGCAGTCTCAATTTAACGATGTAAGCACATCTCCAATTCCGCTGCAAAAATCTCCTGTACCGGGTATCGTACAGCAAAAATCGCCTGTTTCTAAGTCAACTCAACCATCACCAATATTATCGCAGCTTTCTGCAGTTTCAAACTTAATTGATACAGCAACCAAGCAAATCAAATCTACAGATGTTCCATTAAACAATGTCTCCAAAAAGAACAAAGAGTCATGGGCTACATTTGACTCACCGAAACCTGTTTTTCCGGTTGATATACGTGATAAACGAGGTCGCATAATACAATCTGGCAAATCTACGTCATTGCATTTACCGCCAGCACCACCATCTAATACTTCACAAAACGACACTGCAGAGTCACCATGCTCTTCTGACCCTAGAGAGGAAGGTTGGAATAAAGGTTCAGTTAATGTTGGTAGACGCTGGACAAAGAAGGATCGTCAACAAACTTCGTCTTCATCACGCGATTTGAGCCCCTGGGATGATGAAGCGCCAGATTTTCAAAAACAAAAACGACATCCGATGCCACAAATGCCAGCCGGTCAAACTCATGTGCAACCCGATCGTCATGGCTATTATATGCGTCATGCAAGACGCATGAATTCATGTGATGAAGACTATGAGTAAGTTTTTATTTATTTGAAATGTACACAGTTAATATGTTCGATTGCTTCTTTGATTACATATATGCTATTGTTTTTTTAGTTATGAAGACGACTTTAACAACCGCCGGGATCAGCGAAAGTTTAAGCACGGCTTGTCACGAAGTAGAGATAATTTTGATTTAGGTACGATTATAGCGTAAAGAATAAATATAATATGGTATATAATACTTAACAATTAATACTTTACTTCTTGCTTACTGCAGATTCGCCCAGTTGGTATCATCATTCTCAACACCACACTTGGTCTCCGCAAGATATTGATCAAGCTTCTAATTCTCGCATTCGTGGTTTTGAACGTGCTGCTTATGAGCGTTCGACATATGGACCTCCAATTTATGATAAACGTGGTATGCCAATGCCAGCTACTGTTTCTAGTTACGATCGCCGCAGTGGGTATGATAAACGTAAATATTATCGCGACTATGCCAGGCCAAATTACGAATTTGAAGAGTACGCAGATTCGTCTACAATACAAGAACGCTACCGCGATGGTGGCAGTTTTGAAAAATTAAAAGTAGGACGTCGTTCAGACTACGAAAATGTTTATGATGACGGTCGTTTACCAACTAACTACAAGACTCGAACTACTGAGTATATGTATGAACGTGATCGTAAGTCATTTGATCGTGAAAGTGTAGAATCGTATGAAAGTGCTACACGAAGAAGACGAAGTTTTGGTAGCGGTGATGTATATGGCAGCTTGGAGAGTCGAGAAGATTTTCGTGACAGATATATGGGTGGAGCAGAAAGAACACGTTCCTTGCGAAAAGGTATGAAATTACGAGCAACTGGTGACATTGAGTATGAGGACTCTGAAAGTGATTTACATCAAAGAGCACGTGGAGCACCTGTAGATACTCGCAGTTTGCAACGTCCAAGTCAATTAGCAGCCAGTTCAGGCGGAGTTGTATCATCTTCACAAGCACGTATGCGTAAAAGTAGTGGTTCTAGTCCATGGGATGGGGAAGGTACATTTAGAACTATAACAAAATATTTTGTAACTTGTAAATAACGTAAATATTAATTCATTACAGACCCACCATTACCAGGACAAAAGCCATGGAAACGACCTTCAAGTGCTGCTGATAATGAAAGAAGATTAGTTGAAAATCGCAGGGCAACTGCATTAGGACATACTCCTTCTGGTTCTGATGGCGAAAAAGATAGAAGGTATGCATAATATTTAGTTTCTATTACACTGTTTTACCAACTGGTACTTTTTTTTAAATATATCATTCCTATGTATGGTATTTAATAAATATTAATTTTCTAGATTTCGTAAAAAACAACGACAACGAGCAAAGGACCTCTCATCCAATAATGCCAACATTACTACTGGAGGTCGTTATGGCAATCCAGCTGGCGTACATACCCGTGATAATTATGATTATATCACTTACGACAACGACAACGATGATGAAGATGATGTAGATGATGATGACTATGGAGATGAAGAATATGATGATCAACCTACAGATGAAGATAAATTTGAACGACTTAATAGACGTCGTCATGAAATGCATCAACGTATGTTAGAAAGTGAAAGACGACAACATGCTCTATCTAAACCTGGGTTCAAACCAAATACTTCAGTAAGCAATTCGTCGGCTCCCAAAAAATATCACACTCGAGATGGTCGTAGTGAATACACTTTCGATGATTTTGAACAAACTCCTACTCCACGTTCAAATGCAAGTGCTAGTGGTGGTAGTGCATACCCAGTAAGTGGTTCATGTACTAAATTTAGCTTTGATGGTGGCTTTGAATCTGATTTCAATCAGAGTTCACCACCACCAGCACCAGCAGGTACTGCTTCTAGTTGCAATTCAACACCTGCTGGCACTGGCAGCGCAACTACGACTCCAGCAACAAAATCCTCGTTCAGATTTTCAAATGATTTTTCTGAACGCGAAAAATTGGCATTTGCACAGAACTCTACAAGTGTGAGCAGTTTACAACAATTTGATTTGGACACAGGTTCATCACCTGTATCTCGTGCAACACCTCCCAGTACGCAAAAATTACGATTCGATGATAATGTTAAAATTTCACAATTTGATGATGCAGCTTTTGAAGATGATTTTTCGAAAGCACAATTCGATTTCGAAAAAGAGGATCAATGGCATGCAGATTCATTGCAATCCACGAGTAATGCAGCCACAAAAAAACATAATTTACGAAATAGCAAATTGCAACAACGACAGGAACTAATAAAAAAGTCGGAATCAATAAATATATTCGCCAAAAAAGCTGAAGATCCATTCGAAGATGATGAATTCTTTAAAGCACCAACCACTGAAACGAAAACTAGTGATAACGGTATTAACAAAAACAATACGACTAATATTGGTAATAATTTTCAATGGGATGATGATAATAATTTTGCCAAATTCGATGAAAATATGTGATTTGATCAATTATTCGCCAGAAATGCCGAAATGACTAATAAATTTACGCACCACTTACGCGAAGAGGCTTTTAATTTTGAAGAAAAGTACGGAGACAACGATAACGAGAACAAGAACGAGATTGACGAAGAAGATAATAATTATGCTGAAATAGATGTCGCCGAACACGAATATTATTATATAACTAATTTAAATGACTATTACCGTCAACAGAAACAGCATTGCAGTACACAAACTGTTAGCAGTTTTTATATGGAGTCGGAACACAAGCAATCATCACCAACTAATATAAATCAACAAAATACAACTAAAAAAGTTACTCTTTTACGCAATACAAAAAAATTTAGACGTAAGTTACTTTCGTTAAATCTTTTAATGAAAAACTTTGTTATGTATCGTTTTAAATATGACATACTTTAGGATTAGCTATAGCGGGATGTTCATAAAGTACAGGCGATATGATATAAGTCTTGTATATACAAGTCCTCGCGATAAAAATTTTTGAATTCGCTTAAGTAGAAAATCGAATTGAATTGAATTTTTCTATTGTTCACTTAAGTTCGCTGCTTTTTGCTTTTTTCATTCCTATCGAATACACATGTGTAGTTGGGGTTGTACATTTCGCTTTGGCTTAAGTTCTTACGGTACGTACCAACTGATTGAACATTTAGCTATCAAAAATTATAAAGTGGCATCTGATACTAAAACACAACTGTTTACACTACTTATCATTTTAATATGCTATCTGTTTAATAGAAAAACAAAAAAGCTTAAATTGTAAAAATATTTGGACATCGCAAATATTTTGATTAAAGTGCAAATAATAAATAAATTTTAATAGAAATATTTATGATTTGTATCCCAATAAATAACACAAGAAAAGATAGAATTGCAATAATTAAATAATTTGTGGTTTAAGTATATAGAAAATTTTTTCACTACTTTAACAAAATATATAGTTTCAATATATGTATAACAAAAAAAAAAATAAAAAAAAGTAGGGTCTTTTGCTACTGTAAATGTAAGTTATTTTAAAGTTAGAAGGGTTCAAATAGAAATGTAAAGACAACAACAAAAATTTTAGTAAATTTATTAAAATTTGGCTGACCATACAACGCTGTTTCGAGTACTCATCATTAGTGGTCTTAGGAAATATTCGAATTTTTAAATTAATTTTAGTCCATAAAAACGTGTTATTATTATGTATTATTATGTTGAAGCTGTTTTGAGCTAGTGCACTTAAGCACATATACTCTTTTTTAACTCGAGGTATTTTCAAAACCCCTCTTTAAACTTTGACTAGATTATTGTTTATCACTTCGTCAGACTAAGCAATAATAGACCTCAGATCTGCATATGTCCCCGAGGAGCCTGTAACTATTTTGAGATTTGATAACACGATGTTGGTAAGTCTGTCAGTTTTCGATGTATGTTGCATTGCATTTACGATTATTATATCCATTGGCTTTTTTTGAAGAAGAATTTCTAGATGTGGGCTAAAACGCTACTAAAGCTTTGTGAATGAATCACATGAAACACTTTCTTCATTTTTATTTTTCGAACGAAATGCTCGAAAAATAGCTTGAGCTTTAGCTTAATTACAGAGAAATTAATTAACAGTCTCTATGTGAAACGGATTATATATATGATATATAATTATTATAAAAGTATAGATATGTGGCACACCATAGCACAGGCTATGAATTTACTGAAATTGAAATGCAAAATTCAATTTTGTATATTTTCAGTTGTTTTAATTTAATTGAGGAAAACATTTCCGATTTTGCTCTTAGAAAATTTGAATAAAGTTGGCTTATCGTTGTTAAATATTCGTGTTTTTATTGATTAGCAAAGTGTGGAGTCCTATCTGAAACAACTGGAATTGAAAGTAGAGTTCCTGATTTGTGATTTTTATAAGGGAATCTTCTTTAATAGGGACACCTTTCAATTCCCATTAGTTATGTTATGTTATAGCTCACCCAGTTACGTAAACTATAACTGCAGCCCTATGCACACGACGTCACCCATTTGTTGTTATTTTAAATGACGCTTACTAATTTAAATCCAATTGTTCTATTGATTCATTAAAGTGTCCAGGTTCGTTCGCCTCGACACATTCCAGTTTCAATTAACACCCACTCGTACCTTTGTCTCACTCTCTCTCTCGCAAATATGCCTTCTTTTTCTTACTCTACCTTTACCGAATCTGAACTTAGTCCATGTATTTGTATTCTTTCGTCTTTCCTACGAAATGAACCTTCACGGTTTATAATAACAACAGCTACAACTTCTTAATTAATATGCATTAAATTTTTTCGGAAAATATTTATATGTAGTGTTTTATTGTAATTAATAGGGATTAAATTTTTTTTTTATATATCTACTATTAAAATTTATTATTATATATTTATATATAATATAAATAAATTATTAAGGTATGTCATATATAAAACAATACTTAATATAGTCTGTATTATGTACTCATTAAAATAAGCCATTGAAATTATTAGAATAAAGATTATTATACATTTATTTGTAATGGTGACTTTGTCGGTATTCATAATTAATACAAATTATTTGATTAATTTAAAGTCTTTCTTTATATGAATATGTTTTTTTTTCATAGACACCATTATTAATATAAACAAATTAAACAATGTATTTTGTATATAATGAAATGAATTATTAAATTGTATATTAATATTGTTTCTCTTAAATTGTAAATAAATTTTGCCTTAAAGCAACAAATTAAAAATTTTACTAATAAAAATTAATTAATTGTAATTTATTAACTCTTGATATATAAGCATTAATTACCATTTGCAATTCCATTAAAAAGTTAGAATTGAATATGATATGCTTTAAGTGCATATAAACTCAATATATATTGTATATTTATTTGCGAAAATATATATCGCAAATGCATATAAATGTTAAAAATTATTATAAGCAAGAACATGAAAATACTCGTTTGCAATAATTACAATTAATTAAAATTTAAAAATATAATTTATTTCGTTAATATCTCAAAAGAAATTTGCAATATTCACTTGCAATATAGTCCTACTACTATGAACAAAAGAACATGTAATAAATATATATAAAAAATAAAATAAACAATTACTAACTAGTGTGCAGTTATAGTTATATATAAATCATACTCATATATACTTAAGTATACTTACTATGTATTTGAACAATATATGCATTTTCGATCTATAAATTTGTGGTTACATTACGCATATGTAAAATTAAATATGTTGTATGTTGTTCTTAATAAATACTAAAAGCATATTAACGATAATAAAAATAAATATTTATTTATTTCATATTATTAGTTTATTTATTAAAATACAAGTTGAAAATGTAATTAATAAAATAATATTAATTTACTTTCTCAATGTTACTCAGCGAATAAAATATACGAGTAGAAGTAACAACATTCTTATTATTATAAATATTACAAATATACAATGCGAAAACGAAAATTGATTAACTAACTAATAAATTACTAAAATATTAATCAGTAAGTTTTTTTTATTCATTTTTTTATACTGTTTAATTTAAATAAAAACATAATTTTTTTTTTCAAAGGGTTTACAGTTTAGACATTTAAAATTAAATTTTATGGGCTATTGTAAATTTTAATAGTGGTAACAGTTATTTTATTTCAGGAATTCATACTATATCACTGGCATAGTTGTCTGTCAGATATAATGGGTCACTATATAAAGGCTTAAACATATCGCGATCCTAATTTGGCTGCATAGTGACAGTTGACAAGCACAACTCTTATCCAAAGTATCATATGTTTAGTTTAAGGTTTCGCATAAAAAAATATGTATCGTTTAACAACCACAGAACATGTTAAAATACTGAAAATTGATTAAAAAATTAGTGATTCTCTATTAGCCCGTACGGCATTATTATGCATGTTTATGCATTATGTTAAACTTCATATAAGTGCTTACAAAGCCATTCAATAGAATTAAGTTAACGAAACAACTAAAGTTGGCCGAGTGTTTAATACATGGAACAAACTGTGTTTACACAAAAATCAACGGCTCAGTTTTTCCGTAATATATATATATACAAAAATAGAACTGTCGTATAGGGGCAATAAAAATCCACAAGTTACTATCGAAAACCCATTGCATCCATAAAAGAGTCGTTGCATGGAGTAGTATTTGGTCTGGAAGTGTGATTTCTAAGAATTATGAAATCATGGCATGAAATTTTATATAAGTATGGAAGTGAAAGATATGTAGTTTTAATAAATAACTAAATTTATTACAACTGGATTTTTTGGTACGACTTGTATATATGCGAGCAGTTCTCATACTTCCTCTTGTTGGAGAATGAACAGCCAAGTTATGCGGAAGCTATATATGGTATGTTACTATCAAAGAGAAATTGTGTAAATTTTAATAATTATTTATTCCTATAATTACCTTGATAAAATATTAAATTACGGCGACCTTAATATAAGCATTAATTAGCGACCATTAATAGTTTATTATATATTATAATATATATATACTATTATTATATATTATAATATTTTAATATATAATATATTTCTATTTAGGTAAACTTTTGAAATGACTTATTACCATGTAGCCAATGGTTTTTTTTTCTGAAATGGTAAATATACTGCTTATATAATTGATGAATCTGATAGTATCTGACAACCTGAACACTGATTATAAAAAAATTCTTGGTCATTGCTTTCAACATTAAAAATACAAGCTGATATTTTAGTAGGTATATTTTTCAAACAATTAATAATTAATTACCAGGTATGGAGTTAATAGAATGTACCACCATTTATTGATACATTTTGAAAAATACACTTTCCGGTTGTACCTATGAACTAGTTGCACTATTGGGCAATACTTCAGCATCAATGTCGCAGATCCATGACTAAAGATCCATTTCTCCAGACATATTTAAAAATACTCTGAAAGCTTTTTAGTGTTGCATGTAATATTTATCGGCGTAGTTAAGGGGGTACGCATATATTAAAGTAAAATACACCCATAGGATGGTGTTCTCTACCATAATGTGATGGACCAATTTCGAAGATATGCGTATGTAGTGTTTTAAACACTTTCAGCAGTAATAACACATGAATTGTAATGTCTGTGTTTATTTAAATAGTTATACCTGAATTATAGGCAAAATGAATGTGTTAGGAAAGCATCTGTACCATAAACACGTTATGTTTAGAAATGGAGTCAATGATGTGTTATGTATCGATGATGTGTTAAAACGCTGTTAGAATATATTTGTAAAAGTAATTAAGGTCATTCGGGAGTTTATATAGTTTATAGCAATTCTTGTATTTCAAATATATTAACAAATGTTGAAGTAAAAAAAACATTTGTGAGTTCGACTAACATCGAAGAGTTGTCTAGTCCTCATGACATTAAAATTGTTCTAACGGAGACTTTGGCAAGGTGTTAAATAGTTACTTGTTACAAACTAATCCGTTTATTTCTGACGATGCTCAAATAACATATCTAACTCTAAAATCGTCATAAAATTACTCATCTGACATTGATATAGATCACACACAATTTCACTATATAATTTCCCTTTCTATCTGTTGCCTCCACACGATACCCCCCAATATGGCGGACAGGCTTGAATAACAACACAATAAATATAAGAATGTTAATATATTCTTCTTCTGTGAGTACTGAAGAAAAGATGAGAAAATAATGTGGAATAGGAGAACAGGTAAGATTATTATTGACAAGTTACAATGGTTTTTTTTTTTGTATTTCGAATTTATCCTTTTTGAGGATAACGATCTGCAATAATGGGTTTCTTATAAAAAAAAAAAAATATTATTTAAA